TGAGAAATGCTGACCATGTTCTTCCTTCTTGGTTTCCTGATTCCAAATCTTTGCATATTTTATTATAGTGTTTGGCTTTATCTTCTTGAGCTGATCTTTGAAATTTTCTGTTCAGCTCTTGGACCTCCTCATGTCTCCCATTTGCTTTAGCATCTCTATACTAGAGAGCAAGTTTCAGAGTCTCTTCTGATATCCATTTTGACCTTTTCCTTCTTTCTTGTCTTCTTAATGACTTTTTGCTCTCTTCATTTATGATGTTCTTGATGTCATTGTACAACTCTTCTGGCCTTCGGTCTTTAGTGTTTAATGTATCATATCTGTTCTTCAGATGATCTCTAAATTCAGGTGGGATAAATTCAAGGTCATATTTTGCTCATGTGGACTTGTTTTCATTTTCTTCAGTTTCAGTTTAAATTTGCATATGAGTAATTGATGGTCTGTTCCAAAGTCTGCCCCTGGCCTTGTTTTCACTGATGATATGGAGCTTTTCCATCTTCTCTTTCCAAAGATGTAGTCAATTTGATTTCTATGTATTCCATCTGGTGAGGTCCATGTCATCTGTTATGCTATCCAAAGAAGGTTATTTGAAATAAACAAATCATTGGTTTTGCAGAATTCTATTATTCATTCTCCAGCATCATTTTTTTTCACCAAGGCCATATTTTCCAACTACTGGTCCTTCCTCTTTGCTCCCAACCTTTGCATTCCAATCACCAGTAATGAGCAGTACACCTTGATCGCATGTTTGATCGATTTCAGATTGAAAAAGTTGGTAGAATTCTTCTGTTTCATCCTCACTCGCTTTAGTGGTTGGTGCATAAATTTGAATAATAGTGATTTTAACTGGGCTTCCCTGTTGTTGTTGTTGTTGTTGTTGTTATGTGCCGTGGAGTCGATTCCGACTCACAGCGACCCTGTACAGGGTTTCCGAGGCTGTAAATCTGTACGGGAGCAGAAAGCCTCATCTTTCTCCCGCGGAGCAGCTGGTAGTTTCTAACTGCTGACCTTGCGGTTCGCAGCCCGATTCGTAACCACTACGCTACCAGAGCTCCTTGTAGGCGCATGGATATTATCCTATCACTTACAGTTTTGTACCTCATGACTGATCTGGGTATGTTCTTTTTGACGATGAATGCAACACCATTCCTTTTCAATTTTTCATTCCCTGCATAGTAAACCATGTGGTTGTCAGATTCAAAATGGCCAATACCAGTCCATTTCAGCTAATGCCTAAGATATCAATGTTGATGCACTCCATTTCATTTTTGACAACTTCCAAATTTCCCAGATTCATACTTCTTACATTTCATGTTCCGATTTTCAATGGATGTTTATGGCTGTTTCTCTTCATTTTCAGTTGTGCCCCATCAGCAAATGAAGGTTCTGTGTGCTTTTCTCCCACGAGCTTAACTCTATTCACATCATCATGGTCAACTCTATTTTGAGGAGGCTTCTCTTCCCCAGTCGCATTTTGAGTTCCTTCCAACCTGAGGGACTCATTTTCCGGCCCTGTATCTGACAGTGTTTCTCTGCTTTTCATAAGGTTTTCAATGACTAGCGATTCAGAAGTAGTTTATCACTCTTTCTTCCTAGTCTGTCTTTGTCTGGAAGCTCATCTGAAACCTGTCCACCATGGGTGACCCTGCTGGTTATTTAAAATGCCGGAGGCATAGCCCTCAGAATCACAGCAACTCAAGCCACCACAGCACGACAGACAGACGAGTGGTGGCCATTTGGTTTTATGTTGAAAGTGTCACTTTAAATTTCAATATCAATCCTGATGCAATCAAGATGTTCTGTCCCAAGATGGCAGCTCCAGGAACAGCTGAGCGTCTTGAACTAGAAAACAATGGATTTCTGGATTGTCCTACAAATTTCGCCAGTTGTAAGCCCTCCAACCCTCCAAACATACCTGAGAGTAGCTCAGGAAAAACAAAAACTTATCTACAAAGGCGAACCAATAAGACTAAAATCCGATTTCTCAATAGAAACCATGAAGGAAAGAAGGCAATGGAATGACATACAATAAACTCTGAAAGAAAGACAATCACCATCCACGAATCAGATAGGCGGGATAGCTATTCCTAAATACAATGGCAAAATTAAGATATTTCCTGATAAACAGAAATTAAAGGAATTTGTAATGACCAGATCAACTTTACAAAAAAATGCTAAAGGGTGTTCTTTGGACTGAGAATCAAAACAACAGACAACAACATGAGATTACCAGACTTGGCAACATCACCCTAAACTCAATATAGACATAGAAGTATTTAAAGTAAAACAAACCTGTTGTTGCTGTTGTTGTTAGGTGCCATGGAGTCAGCTCCGACTCACAGCGACCCTGTATAGGGTTTCCAAGAATGGGCTTGTGAGTGTGAATCACTGACCTTGTAGTTCAAACTGACCTTGTGGTCCAGTGCTTAGCCAGTAGTGTCACACAAAACTGAAAATAGGGAACTAGAGATATCAATGTATAATGAAGTCAACTACAAAGCAAAAAGAGGAAAGAGTATAGATACTGAACTTCCTAATGGCAAGGAAGTCAAGTAGATTTCAAGATAAAACAGATTGTTTTAAGCAGGTGAAAAAAATAATAATAAATTACAGGGTCATGTCAAAGAAAAATAATACACCTGCACATAAAAATTTTTGAAAATGAAGAAAATCAGAAAGATTTAATAAATGTTAACACAACAGAAAAGAAAATGAAAAACAAAATGAATTCTACATAGAAAATTATGTGGAACAAAGACTCCAGCAGCACCAAAACACACACACACACACACACACACACACACACACAGAAAAATGGCTAAAATCAATTCATATCTATTGATAATTGCACTGAATTTAAATGAATTAAATGTGTCAGTCAAGAGACATAAAAGCAAAAGATAATAAGAAAATAAGATCCTTCAATATGTTGTTTACAAAAGACATATAAAAATGCCCACCAAGAGAAGAATGGTTAAACAAATTTTGGTATATACACACAATGAAACACTACAAAACACTGAAGAACAATGATGAATCTGTGAAACACCTCACAACATGCTTGAACCTGGAGGACATTATGTTGAGTGAAATTAATCAATCACAAAAGGACAATTATTATATGAGGCCAATGTTGTAAAAAGGTTTTTAAAAAATAAATATTTACTTGATTAAAGAGGCAATCTAGGATAGTGGCAGGGGAGGGAAAGTAATTCACGGGATAGAGAGCAGACACAAGTTAACATGGGTGTCAGAACAGGTTATATATAACAAGAGGGAGGTTAGCAGAGAAAAGATAAAGGTAATGGGAGACACAGGGAGGAATGCAATAGTTAAAGTGAATAGAGGTAAATACTGTTAATTGTTGGTACATGGAGTGGATTGTTGTTGTTGTTGTCAGGTGCCATCGAGTCGGAATCGACTCACAGCGACCCCATGCACAGCAGAACGAAACAATGTCCGATCCTGAGCCAATCTCACTACCGCTGCCACACTTGAGTCCATCAATGATGCCACCTGGCTGGTCCATCTCGTTGGGGGTCTTCCTCTTTTTCTCTGACCCTCCACCCTACCCAGCATGACATCCTTCTCCAATGATTGTTTCCTCCGGACAATATGTCCAAAGTATGAGAGACGAAGTTTAGCCATCCTGGCCTCCAAGGAGCACTCTGGCTGCACTTCTTCCAAAACAGATCTATTGGTTCTTTTGGCAGTCCATGGCACTTTCAGTATTTTCCTCCAACACCACAACTCAAAGGCATCAATTCTTCTACGATCTTTCTTAATACCATGTAATGAATCAAGCTCACCAGCTGCTCCTCGGAAACCTTATACAGGGTCGTTATGGGTCAGAATTGACTTGACGGCACTTAACAGCAACAACAATGAAACAAAGCTTCTGATTTGTTGAATGGACACCTGATGGTCTGTTCAATAAACCCTCACTCGATTCACAATAAAAAATTGAAAAAAGAGAAAAAAAAAAAAGGTAAGAAAAATTGAGAGATTTAACAGAAGACAGAGCTAACATATAAGTATTCTTTCTTCTTAGGATGGTAATAACATACCTGGTAAGTAACTTCTTCTCTCACTGAATCCATGAAGCTCTGACTGGTTGGATAAAGGGCACAAGCAAACATAAAGTCCTGCCATATCTATCAGATAAAATGAAAGGCAACAAAGCATTACCATAAATTTTATTACATAGATATTTTTCATTGTGAGTAGATTCGGACTCACAATGACGCTATAGGACAGAGTAGAACTGCTCCATAGGGTTTCTGAAACAGTAAATCTTTACAGTAGCACACAGACTCATCTTTCTCCAGTGGAGCGGCAGGTGGGTATGAACGGCTGGCCTTGCAGTTAGGAGCCCAATACTTCACCAACCACTGCAATATCACTGCTTTGACATAGACTTAAATTTAATTAATATATAAAATAGGCATTATTTAAACAAATTATTTATTCTATTTGTTACCAACTATGGCTCTGGGATTGTAAAATACCATTCATTCCTTTGGAAGTGAAAGGAGAACATTGCTGGGTAGAGTAAAGAAATAAGTTAAGTAACCACTCACTCAGAACACTAGAAGTCAAACTGAGGACACAATAGCACATTAATTTATTAAATACTATCACATACTCAAGAAGCCCTGGTAGCGTAGTAGATTACAAACTGGGCTACTAAATGCAAAGTCAGTAGTTCGAGTCTACCAGTCACTCTATGAAAGAAAGATGAGGCTTTCTGCTCACGTAAAGACTTACCACTTTGGAAACCCTATACAGGATCACTATGAATTGGAACTGACTTGGTGGCACACAACCACCACCACTACCATCATATACTCACCATTATTCCTAACTGATCACAAAGTTCATAGAACTCATCCTGCTCATAAATTCCTCCTCCCCAAACCCGGAGAGTATTCATGTTGGCATCCACAACAGACTGCAAAAGGAGTCGTAACCTGTAGAAGAATAGAAACTATATATTTAAATGATCGGACCTGAAATTTTAAAAACAAATTCTCATTTTTAAAATGTGGGATAGTAGGGAGTAAATGTTTAAATGCCTCATAGAGCATAAACACATTTCAAATATCTAGTTTGGATATGGTGTCAAGTAAAGAAAGTGAGGCAGCATTATTTACACATTAACTGTAACCACACAACACATACAAATTTAGAAAAATGAAGCAGTGTCTTTTCTCAGCTTTCTACATTTTTAGTAATGTACTATTTTTAAAACCAAATTTTTGTTTTAAAGTTATTCCTATGGAAAAATATACATGTAAACCTAGGAAAGTATGCGATGATTTTATAAAACAATCTCAAACCATAGGCAAAAAAGTTTAAAAATCAAAACTTGATTATTAGAATTTAGTTCATTCTTACGTACCTTTTTTTAAAACTGTTTTATTGTGAATTATGTGATACTTTACATGAGAGAACATCAGCTTTACATTCATACTATCATATATCTTTATATTGCCATGGTTACAGTCCCCTCTATGCATCATCAACCAACCAAAGGGTACACCCTGCAAGTCTGCCCCGCGGTCATCAGCACACAGTCTTCCCTCTCTGGGTCTAGAGTCCCCAGCCACTCCATCTCTCCACATCATCATCTCTACCTCCATCTCTGGCATCACTATTTCTCTGTGTAGGATCCGGCATTCTGCTCTTCTCCTTTGATAGTCCCAGGGGTCTCCACTCCTGGCTTGCAAAGTCAACCACTTCCTTCCTTTTGCTACAAAACATCTACCTTTACATATCCAATCCTCACAGTCAGTCCTGATAGTAATTATTCACTATGTACCACATGAGTGCTAGCCCCATCTCCTTTCATCAGCCCTGCCCGTCTTCTGTACTTTTAAAAATTCTCCAGCCTAGCACTTCTTCCTCTAGTAAATTTCCTTTTTAATTTTTCCATTTCCAATTTACATTTCCCTCAGAAAAATCTTGACATTTACATTTACTCCATCCCTCCATCTGCAGAAAACTGCCTAGGAATGAGTTATGTCAAACAAAACATTAGTCAGGGGCCCAGAGCATTCTGCTTCTTGCAGAGGTACCCATGGGCAGTTGCACAAATAGGCCCAGCTGTTCTGAAGAGCCCATAGCCAAAAGCAGGAATGTTGTGCGATGACATCAAGAACATCATACAGGAAACAAGCAAAAGGTCATTGTTGTTGTTGCTGTTAAGTGCCTTCGAGTTGATTCCGACCCATAGCATCCCTGTATAGGGTTTCCAAGGAGACACTGATAAGCTTGAACTGCCGACCTTGCAGTTCAAACGGCTTTGCAGTCTGGCACATTAACCCTCAGCACCACACCAAGACTTAAAAAGGTCATTAAGAAGACAAAAAATAAAGAAAAAATCAAAATGGATGTCGGAAGAGATTGAAAGTTGCTCTCAAGCATGGAGATGATAAAGCAAATGGAAGAAATGAGGAGGTAAGAGAGTTGGACAGAAACTTTCAAATGGCAGCTCAAGAAGACAAATTCAAGTATTATAATGAAATATAAAGGCTTGTAACTCTGTGGATCATGGCCAGGTAAGGATAACATTGTGAATCATGGGTATGCCAGAACAGTTCATTGTGCTCATGAGGAACCTGTATATAGACCAAGAGGCAGTTATTCTAACAGAATAAGAGAACACTCAATGGTTTAAAATCAAGAAAGGTGTGTGCCAGGGTTGTATTCTTTCACCATTCTTATTCAATTTGTATGCTGAGCAAATAATCCAAGAAACTGGATTATATGAAGAAGAACGTGGCATCAGGATTGGAGGAACACTCATTAACAACCTGTGATATGCGGATGATACAATCTTGCTTGCTGAAAGCAAAGAGGACTTAAAATATTTACTGATGAAGATCAAAGACCACAGGCTTCAATATGGTTTGCACCTCAATGTAAATAAAACAAAATCCTCACCACTAGACCAATAAATAACATCATGATAAATACAGAAAAGATTAAAGTTGTCAAAGACTTTATTTTGTTTGGTAACACTCATGGAAGCAGTCGGGAAGTCAAACAATGTATTGCCTTAGGCAAATCAGCTGCACAAGGCCTCTTTAAAAGCTTTCAAGATCAAAAAGTTTGAGGTGAGCCTGACCCAAGCCATAGTATTTTCAATAGCTCCATATGCTTTTGAAAGTTGGACAATGAAGAAGAAAAACCATAGAAGAATTGATGAATTTAAATTGTGGTGTTGGAGAAGAATAATAAAAGTACCATGGGCTGCCAGAACAAACAAATCTATGTTGGTATAAGTATAGGCAAAATGCTCTTTATAAGATGGGAAGGTGAGAGGCTTTGTCTCGAATACTTCAGACATATTATCAGGAGGGACAAGTCCCTGGACAAGGACATTATGTTTGGTAAAGTGGAGGGTCAGCAGAAAAAGAGGAAGACCCCTAATGAGATGGATTGATAATAGCAACAACAATAGGCTCACACATAACAATGATTGTGAGGATGGTGCAGGATAGGACAGTGTTTCATTCTGTTGGGCATAGGGGTTGCAATGAGTCAGAACTGACTCCACGGCACCTAACCACAACAAAAAGAGGCAGGAGGTTGAGAAGACCTTTTGAAAAAGGAAAAAAAAAAAAAAAAAGTTGCCCATAGAGTCAGTTCTGACTTATGTTGCCCCCATTTGTGTGTCAGAGTAGAATCATATTCCATAGGGTTTTCAATCACAGATTTTTTGGAAGTTTGCCAGACCTTTCTTCTGAGGTACTCTGTGTAGACTTGAACTGTCAATCTTTCAGTTAACAGTCCAGCATATCAACATTTGTACCACTCAAAGCTTCCTTCAAAAGATGGAATAAGAAAATTATCTGGTGTCTGTGCCTGAAGAATTTTGTTTTCATATGAAATTCAAAATATTAATCATATTTTCATATTTTGAAATAAAAAGTGACTAAAACTTTTGGCAATATGAGAGGTTAATTACTACTAACAACATTATATTTCAAATATTAAGTAATACACTGTTGTGTACATGTATAAATTTTAAAATAAATTAAATGTATATATTTTCACATGAAAGATAAACCCAAATAGGAAATATTATTTTCTTCCAAAATTCTATTACTATAAAAAAAAAAAAAAATTCTATTACCATAGCTCTAAGAACAATATCTTAGCATGAAAAGGTAAATATAAGTTCTGTTTTTAAAATACATGCATAAATATTAAGATAGTCTTCAAAAAACTGAAAAGAAGCTGCATGTAACTATCTTCTCTCCCTATGCCACCAGCCCCTGTGACTATTTAAAATTTGCAGAAGTCATTTCTTGTTTCTCCAGAGTAAATGTGTAAAAGTTTCCTAAAGACATCCTGAAATAGTTTACTTACGGTGATGGTTATATGCCGTGGAGTCAGGTCCGACTCATAGCTACCTTGTACCGGGTTTCCAAGGCTGTAAATCTTTACAGGAACAAAAAGCCTTGTGTTTCTCCTGGGGAACAGCTGGTAGTTTCAAACTAGCTGACCTTGAAGTTAGCAGCACAACTCGTAACCACTAAGCTACCAGAGCTCCTTAGTTCAGTTATGAGACTATGTATATAAATTGTAGTTGTTGTTAAGTGCCTTCAAGTCGGTACAAACTTACAGCAACCCTGTACAGGGCTTCCAAGGAGCAGCTGGTAAACTTGAACCACTGACCTTGTGGTTCAAATCAACATTAGAGTTCGAGCACATTAACCCACAGTGCTACGCCAGGATTCCATATATAGATTGGTGGTGGTTATGTGCCGTGGCGTCGGTTCCGACTCATAGCGTCCCTGTACAGGGTTCCCGAGGCTGTAAATCTTTATAGGAGCAGAAAGCCTCATCTTTCTCCTGCGGAACAGCTGGTAGTTTCGAACTGCTGACCTTGCTGTTCGCAGCCCAATTCGTAACCACTACGCTACCAGGAGAACGGAATATATGATTTAAAAATTCTTTCCAGTCTAAATTTTCCAACATTCTCAATTCTATACTACCTCTCAGTTCCTTTTATTCCTTCCGGATAAAACAAACTCAAAATGAGTAACTCTTAAACTTTGTGGGACTGTTTTTTTTTGTTGTTGTTGTTTTTTAAAAAAAAGGAATAAAAAGAGAAAGATGATAACTTACAAATCAGAGGTTACTCGATCCTGGAATGCATCTGCTGGGATCCAGTTTGAGCCTTTCAGAAATATGGGAAGTCCATTAATTTTGAAGTAGAAACTCAAACCAGGAGACCCTTTTATAGGCTCTTCTATAAGTTCCACTGTCCTAAAATAAACCTGTAATGGACAAAAATAAATACTGAAGATCAAATGAAAACATAAGCAGAAGTTAAAAAAAAAAAAAAAGGTATCTTTTCAAACAACTTACAAGAGCATAGTTTAATGTTAATGTTCCTATTTGCTATGAAGCACTTGTAGAGTCCTGGTGTGGTACTGTAGGATAAGCTAACGGAACTGCTAACCTACAGGTCAGTAGTTCAAACCCACCAGTCACTCCTTGGAAACCCTATACAGGGTTATTATAAGTCAGAACTGACTCAATGGCACTTAACAACAACAACAGTAAAGCACTTAATGTGGAAGTGCACATTTTAAAGAAAAAACTTGTATGTACACACACACACACAAAGTATTGCTGTGTTGTTGTGCCTTCAAGTTGATTCCAACTCACAGCAACTCTATATAGAATTTCCAAAGAGTGGCTGGTGGAGTTGAACTGCTGACTTCACAGTTCAAATCGACCTTGACGTCCAGTGCTTATCCTACAGTGCCACATCTTTCTCCCACGGAGTGCCTAGTGTGGCTCAGACTGCAGACCTTGTGGTTTGCAGACCTGTGCTTATCATATGGAGCCACCTCGCTCCCAATTATTGCTAGAGCAATTTATTTCTTTATTTAAAGGAAAATGATCAAAGTCACGTTGCTGTTGTTAGGAGTTGTCGAGTCAGTTTCAATTCATAGCAACTCTGTATAGGGTTTCCAGTGTTATAAATCTTTATAGGAGCAGAAAGCCTCACCTTTCTCCCTTGGAGCGATTTGTGGGTTTGAATTGCACATCTTGTGGTACAAAGCCACGAGTGCTCCTTAATTGAGACCATGCTGCTGTTGGTAAGTGCCATCATGCCAATTCCAAGTCATAATGACCCTGTACTGTCGACCTGTGATTAGCAGTGCAGTGTTTTTCCTACAGCACCACACCAGGATTCCAACAGAAGGGTGAAATGTGTTGTAGTCTTCCACATGAATAAGACACTCATACTTATATCAAGGAGTCCTGGTGTGGTGCTGTGGGCTAATGCCTCAGACTGCAAAATGATTTGAACTGCAAGGTTGGTGATTCAAGCTCACCAGCTGCTCCTTGAAAACCCTATACAGGGTTGCTATGGGTTGGAATCAACTCAACAGCACTTAACAACTTATATCAAAACAAACGTATTTGAAGATAACATATAAAAATAAAAATAAAAATTTTTAATTCGCACAAAAAAAGAGGAAACATTAATCAATTAAACCAATACACCATTGATTCTCATTTCAAAGAGATTAAAATGTATATCTTAAGATCAGAGAAATACACAAGGCAGCACATAATTAAACAATTCTCCAATCTTACTAACATATCACTATAAAAACACTTTGTTTCATGGATAATTTAGTCCTAACTAATTGTCACATTATGGACTCATGGTGTGGTCCTCTAGGATCAGCACTGGACTGCAAACCACAAGGTCAACAGTTCAAGCCCATCAGCTGCTCCTCAAAAACACTATACAGGGTTGCGATGAGTCAGAACCCACTTGACGACACTTAACAACAACAATAATCATGTTAAATTCAATGCTGAAAGATCTTGGATAGTGATTGTTGATGGACATAGTATCCTAATTGGAAGAAGACATACTGGGAGCACACATCCTATTCTGTCATTGTTATAAGTGACCATTGCACATGTGACATTGTAGTCAAGTTTCCCCACAGTTAGGCATGGTAAGCAAGACCCTGAATAGAGATATTCTGGCCATCTCATCAAAATCTCCATTCTTTCCAGCCATAAATTAGATCAAGGAATGAAGGACATGATCATATACCAATAAAGTCTTGTCTTTATATGTTGCATACTTCTCTATTTAAAAAATACATGATTGAATCAATCTACTTACGTTCATACAGTAAAAATGCCCACTCGTTCTTCTACTTCCTTACATTTAATCTTGTCTATATGATATAACATTTGGATTAACTTTATGAGTAGTCACAGAATAAGACCTGGTTTAGGATGATTTTGACAAGGAATTACTACATCTGCTTTTGACAAGGAATTTTCACACTTTAGGGTTCAAAGTGTAAAGAATGCACGGTGATTTTCAGAGGTGTTTTAAAGCACTTTGACAGTCAGTTCAAACATCTGTAACAGTAGTTCCTAAAGTGAGGTCTGGGGAATTACTAAATTCTTTCAGTGGGTCCTTAAGTTCCAAACTATTTTCATAACCTCTCTTCAGGGTACAGGAATGTTCCAGAAGCAAAGGATGTGTGATGATATCATAACTTTGGCAGCTAATGGAATGTGTGCAGTGGATTCTGGTGTGTCCTAATTCTACAAAAGACTTTTAAGGTATGAAGAGGTGAGTTTTCAGAGACTAATTCAATTTGTTCTCAGTGCTTCTAGTTTGCTCTTACATATGTCTTTAGTTATTCCTGCTATATATAACCTTTGTCATCTCAACAAATCCTTATTTTAAATACCAATGTTTCCCTTGCAACCTACACAGGAGAATACAAAAGGTCATAGTACCTTTTGTTAACTTGTTTCACAATAACATTTCTAAAATTTCAAACGAAAGGTAAATTTAAATTTTTAATTTCTATTTATTTTTTGTTAAGAATTCCACAGCAGAACATACTCCCATTCAACAATTTGTCCATGAATAGTCACTAACATGGATTACATTCTTCAGGCTGTGCAATCCCTTGCATCCTCCTTTTCTGAATTGTCAGCCTACAATTAACATTAACTCACCGCTCCTAAGTTTTCTAACTTACGGTTACTGGTGTCAGTTTGATCCCACATGTTGTTGTTGTTATATGTCATCAAGTCAGTTACAACTCAGAATGAAACACTGCCTGGTCTTGCGCCATCCTCACAACTGTTTTGTTTGAGCTCATTATTGCAAGCACTGTGTCAATCCATCTGATTGACAGTCTTTCTCTTTTTCTCTGACTCTCTTCTTCACCAAACATAATGTCCTTTTCTAGGAACTGGTCCTTCCTGATAGCATGTCCAAGTATGGGAGATGAAGTCTAGCCAACCTCATTTCTAACAAGCATCCTGGCTGTACTTCTTCCAAGACAGATTTGTTTGTTCTGGTGGTGGTGGTTGTGTGCATCAGGTTGGATCCAATACATAGCTACCCTGCTTCCGAGGCTGTAAATCTTTACGGGATCAGAAAGTGTCATCTTTCTCTGCAGAGCAGCTGCTTTGAAATGCTGACCTTGTGATTAGCAGCCCAATGAGTAATCCACTATGCCACCAGGGCTCCTTCTGGTAGTCCATCATAATTTCAATATTCTTTGTCAAAATCATAATCAAAAGCATCAATTCTTTAGCCTTCCTTATTCCTTTTCCATCATTCATATGCATATGTTGTTAAGTGTCCTTGAGTCCCTTCAGACTTATGTTGTTGTTGTTAAATGTTGTTAAGTCAGGTCTGACTCACAGAGACCCTGTGTAGGGTTTCCAAGGAGTGGCAGTGGGTTTGAACTGCCGACCTTATGGTTAGCAGCAGTCCAGTGCTTATCCTACAGACGTTTTGATGTTGTGGTTGTTGTTGTTAAGTGTCATTGAGTCACTTCCAACTCATAGTGACGCTGTATAGGGTTTCCAAGGAGCTGGTGAGTTTGAACCATCAGCTTTATGGTTCAAACTGACCTTTTGGTTCAGTGCTTTATCTCACAGTGCCACACCAGGGCCGACATATTTTGTTGTTGTTGTTAGGTGCTATGGAGTAGGTATTGATTCATAACGACCCTATGTACAACAGAATGAAACACTGACTGGTCCTGGGCCAACTTTACAATTATTGCCAAGCTTGAGCCCATTGATGCTGCCACTTTGCCAATCCATCTCGCTGGGGGTTTTCTTCTTTTTCTCTGACCTTACCAAACATGATATCCTTCTCCAGTGACTGGACCCTCTTGACAATATGTCTGAAGTATGAAAGGCAAAGTCTGGCCATCCTAGCCTCCAAGGAGCACTTTGGCTACATTTCTTCCAAAACAGTTATGTTTGTTCTTTTGGCAGCCCATGGCACTTTTAATATTCTCCTCCAACACCATAATTCAAAAGCATTAATTCTTCTATGATCTTCCTCATTCACTGTCCAACTTTCTCATGCATATGAGGTTATTGAAAATACCATAGCTTGGGTCAGGCACACCTTAGTCCTCAAGCTGACATCTTTACTCTTCAACACTTTAAAAAGGTCTTGTACAGCAGATTTGCCTAATGCAATATGTCGTTTGATTTCTTGACTGCTGCTTCTGTGAGAGTTAATAGTTGATCCAAGAAGAATGAAGTCTTTGACAACTTCAATCTTTTCTCTGTCGATAAGAATGTTGTTTACTGGTCTAGTGATGAGGATTTTTGTTTTCTTTACATTGAGATTCAATCTATTACAGAAGGCTGTGTTCTTTGATCTTCATCAGTAAGTATTTTAAGTCCTCTTCACTTCCAGCAAGCAAGGTTGTATCATCTGCATATTGTAGGTTGTTAATGAGTCTCCCTCCAATCCTGATGCCATGTTTTTCTTCATAGAACCCAGCTTCTCAGATTATTTGCTCAGCAGACAGGTTGAGTAAGTATCGTGAAAAAATACAACCCCGTCGCACACCTTTCTTAATTTTAAACCATTCAGTGTTCCCATGTTCTCTTCAAACAACTGCCTCTTGATCCATGTACAGATTCCTCATGAGCACAATTAAGTGTTCCAGAATACTCATACTTTGCAATAATGTTTATGTGCTCCATTTCATTTTTGACAATTTCCAATTTTCCTAGATTCATACTTCATATATTCCATGTTGTGATTAATAATGGATATTTACAGCGGTTTCTCTTCATTTAGAGTTGTGCCCCACCAGCAAATGAAGTTCCCAAGGGCTTTACTCCTGCAGACTTTACTCCATTCACGTCATCATGGTCAACTCTACTTGAGGAGGCAGCTCTTCTCCAGTGGCATTTTGAGTGTTTTCAACCTGAGGGGCTCATTTTCTGGCACTAT